AGGTTGAAAGCTCGAGAACTATAATGATAAGATAGGGCGCTACTTACCTTCGATCGTGAGCTTGCTTCCGGAGCACGAGATGTACAAATTTATACGACCACGTCTCTCCGTATGATCGCATCCGCAAAGATTCGGCACGCTCTCCTCGCATCTCTTGTGAACGTTCATGTCGCATGCTGCACGTTATTAGATCATGATCGATTATAATCGTGGTCCAACGTTCGCTGGCACGTTTACGTTGCAACCAGACCGGCAATCTCGTATATCTATTTTCTCTTATTTTCATTATCTTTTTTTTTTCTTTCTTTTATCTTTTCCTCTTTTTTTTCTTTTTTTTTTTTTTTTTTTTTTTTTTTTTTTTTTTCTCTCTCTTTTCTTTTTTTTGCATTTTTTTATACTTTCTTTTTTTTTTCTCTCTCTTTTCTTTTTTTTGCATTTTTTTATACTTTCTTTTTTTTTTCTTTCTTTTATCTTTTCCTCTTTTTTTTCTTTTTTTTTTTTTTTTCATTTTTTTGCATTATTTTATACTATCTTTTTTTTTTCTCTCTCTTTTCTTTCTTTGGCATTTTTGCCTGAAAGTGTTGGTTCGAGCAGCGGGATGCAGGATAGGGGCGCGGTTTTTCACGCGTTTCACTCGCTATCGAAACTGCAGCTGCCGACCGTTTCTTTCCTTTCCTTTCCTTTCCTTTCCTTTCCTTTCCTTTTCTTTTTTTCCCCTCTACCGTTAATTATCGGTTCGATTCAAGTACGAGAACCCGTTCGTTTCTCTTTTACTTTTCCTCTCGATGGAGAGAAAATGAATCGAGACGCACGATCGCGGCTGCAGTCGAAAGTGCACACGCGCGAAACTCGACGAACAACCGTTCGAAACGCATGCTCGATTGAGACGGTGGTTCGTGCTCGTATCGTGAAGGATAATGGAACGGATTACGAGGAAATTATCGTTTCCATTCCACATTTCTTCGAGAAAGGAAGAGAAAGAAAGAAAGAAAGAAGAGAGAAAGAGAGAGAGAGACAAAAAAAAAGAAAAAAAATTATACGATAATAATCCTCGTAATCCTTTGACTACGAAAGGTGGAAATAATGCAACGAGAAGCGGCCACTACGATAAACTACGTGTGGTCGTTGTACGTTTAATAATTGTCAATTGAACAAATCGTTATCTACATACATTCGGTGCCGATAGAGTAAAAAAAGAATAAAAAAAAAAAAAAAAAAATAGCGATCGCGAAATATTACACATTTACATACATACATACATGTAAATCGAGACGTGCATATAGTCCCCTCGAGAGCGGAACATTAGGGGATAAAGTCGAAACAGAGGATAAATCGAAAAATACATGTATACAGGTGTATTATATACGACTATATACGTGTTGGTCGAATAAAATCTAATATTAAGGTTGAGTATAAATATATAACGGTCTGTAAATAATGCCCAATGAGAAAGAGAGTTGTTGCACACCGATCGAAGAGAAGTGTGTCGTATTCTACGCGTTCGGTCGATACCGAGCGAAAAAAAAAAAAAAGGTATAAATCTACGTTATATACACGTACTATAACGACGAGCATGCATCGTATGTACAATCGTGTATATAGAATCATGTATGTACAATGATCGAGATACGTTAAAGAAAAGAATAAAAAAAAAAAAAAAAAAATTTCACGGACGTGAGATATCGTACGTAAAGTGTCGGTAAAATACGTAACAAAGGTAACATTCTACGTGTATACATATAAAAGGCGCTGAGCTCTCCCGACTGAGAGAACGTGGCAAAAAGAGCAATGGGATAAGCAAGCGAGGGGGGAGAGGGCTACTAATAGGCGAACGACCAAGTGCAAGGTTCCCGGCTTCGCAGTCGGAACCGGAGTATCGTTTTACACCGATCGAAAGTGTGCGGAACCAAAACACGAGCAACAGGCTAGCGTTTCTTCCCTTGAAGTTATTCGTTATATTAATCGAATATTTTGTGTACGTGATAATATACCGCCATTTTGATCGAATTCGCAAAATTTTTAATCTCGTTTGTTAAATAAATGGAGAATGGACGAAAAAGAACGGCGAATGTTGAGAGAGCGAATCGTGAGAAGATAAGTCGACGAAAGTATGACGAAGATGATGAGACACCACCGAGAGAGTGAAAGAGAACGAGAACGAAACTGCGAATACGAAAATGACAATGGCGACGACGACGACGACGACAACGACGACGACTAAACGAAGACGAAGATTATAACGACAATGACGACGAAGTCTACGAAAACGATACAAAAACGATGTTTGGAGAAATCGCGGAAAATGTTGGATAAACGTTAAAAAAATAGAAATATTTTTTTTTCACGCGTCGACGTCGCTTCCCTGCTTCAGTCCAATCGATTATATCCGCATAAACATAGGTAGGTGTTGGGAGGCAAGAAAATATGTTTCTCTCGTTGAAACATTGAAGAAATGGAGAGAGATAACCGCGGAGACGAGAAAAATAAACGAACGTGGAGGAAAGAGAAGATGGATCGTAAACGTTAAATTGAGAATTCGTAGAGAAACTGGAGCTTGCGATTCGAGTGAAGGGAGGGGAGGGAGGAGATAAAGTTAGGGAAGAGAAAGGGAAGATCGATAGTGAGAGGCGAAAGCGAAGCTTTAATACCGCGTTATTTCGGATATTTAGGTGGGAAATTTCGAGCGAAAATTTGTGTTCGATCAGCTACTACGTAATCGCGGAAGAAGAATATCAGCGGAGATCGAATCGAGTTCGTAATACAGGAGTATCGCGATCCAACTGGATTCGAGATTGGAGACAGCGCCAATCTCGTTTTTTTTTTTTTTTTTTTTTTTTTTTTTTGCGACGCAAATAACGGGTTAACCGACGAGATATTAAATAAAAAAAAAAAAAAAATACGCAAATAGCAACTGTTTCCACTCGAATCTAGACGAATGCGAATCTTTTTTTTTTTTTTTTTTTTTTTATTTCGAAGATAGCTACGTGAAGAGACAAAACGCGTGCGAGATCTAGCCGCTTCGTGGAAATGTAATTACGGACTGAATTTGTTTGATTTGAATGTTGTTGTTTGTTAACTACCTGAACATTTAAGTCCCTGATGCGCGATACCGTGAAGCATCGAGCCGCAGTGGTCGCAGAAGGTTGGCGTCAGGTACGTGAAAACCTCCCATTTGTGTGCGGTGCTCATCTGGGAACAAGAAATAGCGGCCCGGGAAAGCCCGGTCCTTCATTGTGATCTGATTCTCTGAGATTCCAAGAGAGATACAACCCGAGAATCCTCGCTACACAACCGACACTACTGTATCGCTTATCGCTTTCGAGTTTACTCGCCCGCGCCTCTTCTTTTTTTTTCTTTCTTTCTTTCTTTTTTTTCTTTTCTCTTTTAGAAAACTTCGCTCCGTCCATTTTTTTTTTTTTTTTTTTTTGAAAAGTTAGCCTCTAGAGAAAAATATTCGAGATAAACAGAGCAGAAAAGAAACGAGCCGTGTTCCGCGAGTAAACACCTATTTCCTCGCAATAACGATAAAGATAGACAGCCAAAGTCGGGTATCGTTGTAGGGTCGAAACTCAGTTAAGGTCACGCTTTGCTCGTAAAATTCAATTTCGTTGTTTTTCTTCTCGGTTTTCTTCCGCGACGAAACGCAATTAGAAAGAGCGAGAGCAAGAAAGAGAGAGAGAGAGAGATGGAGAGGGAACGGGAGCAGTTGAACAAGACCGAGTGAAATGGACCGGCTCGTCAAAGGGGGAGGGAGGAGAGA